GATGCCGTCGTTGAGCAGCACCAGCAGGTTGGAGGCCGAGTAGACTGCGGGCGGAGTGGGGTGTCAGCGCCCCCGCCCCTTTCCCAGCCTGGTGGAAGGCAGCCTGCACCCTACTAGAAAGGGAGCCCCGACGCGGGGCTGGCTGTCGCGGCCTGCCCTGAACTGCCCACCGGGATCCAAACCGTCAACCACGTGGGGTGCCGCCCCCTGGTCTTTGCTCCTTCTGCAGCCTGTCCCCGTGGGAACCCAGCCTGCTTGGCTGGATGGTCACCTCTGTACTCAGTGGGCAAAGACATAGCCAGCCGCCCACGGTCTGCTCCTGCAACGTGGGGGATGGGGCTCTGCCTATTCCAGTCCAGGGCATCCTGGGTGGCAGTTCCCCACCCTTCACTGAACCTCGGCTCCCGGTAACTGGACACTGGGGACAGTCTCAGTCCCCACTTCCTCTGTCTTGAGGGAGAACACCTGGGCCAAGGCGGGCAAAGCACTGAGCCCTGTCACCTGAGCCCGGCAAGGTCCCAGCCTGGAGGGTGGGGGTGGCTGGCTGGGGCACTGCATCTTAACACCTTAATCCCATTCCGCACCCTGGCAGGATACCCTCACGGGCCCCCTCCTTCCTCCCGCCCGTCCCTCCCCCACCTCCCCGCGATCTGGCTGCCCCTGCCCCTGTCCCCAGAGCTCACCCAGCTCGGACAGCTCGTGGGAATCCGCGAAGCGACCTGGGGAGAAGGCACAAAGGGAGGCAGCGGGTGAGCCTGCTGTCTCCCCCCCTCCTGGGGCTCCCGTCCCGTCCCGTGCGTCCCCCGCCCCACGCCCGACGGGAACTTGGAAGGAACGTGTCAAACACAGCCACCACTCCCCTGACTCCGCAGGGAAAGGGGGGGGGTCTAGTGAGGTCAGAGCCCCGAAGGAATGGGTCAGAGGTCAGGCGGCACCTGCCAGCAGGTAACTGAGGCCCCGCACTGCCGTCTCCAGCTGGGCCGTGGCGGCCGGGTGACGAGTCACGTACTCCTGGTAGCGGAGACCCAGGAGCCGCAGCTTCTCCATCCTGCCCTCCCGACCGGCCAGACCCGCGCACCGACGGCCGGTCCCTGGCTGCGGGCCCTGCTTCCTGCGCCCTCCTTCCTGCTTCCGGCCGTAGGCCCGCCCCTCGGTGGCGAGACTTCCGCAGGCCAAGGGAGAGCCAGTGAGTCTCCCTCCCCCCCGTTTCTTGAATCTCCGCCCACTCTGGGTGGAGCTTTAGCCACCGCCAACCTAATCCCGCCTCCCCAGCGGCTCCGTCCAGCCATTGGTTTAAAGCGCTCTCCGCCCCGCCCCCTTCCTTTCCCGGCTCCCAGTTGGCTGCCCTCGCGCCTGCACAGTCACAGCTTTAGGCGCGCTCCCGCCGCCGGCTCATAGGTTCGGTCCAGGGCAGGCAGCGGGCGGCCGCGAAGGGTTCCAGCGTAACGCGGAAAGGCTCGAACGGGAGCAGCAGCTTTTCAGAGACGGGGCGGGAGTGCGCGGCCTGGAGACCCGGGGAGACGCGGGGTGGCCCACGTTTGGTTTGGCTACTGGCCTCGTCTCTCCTCCCCCCTTCAGAGGCAATGCTGAAGAAACTGAGGCAACCTCTGGCGTCCAGTCCTCCCACGCCCCGGTCCCACCTCCAGCCTCTGTGTGTCTCCCATTTTTCTCGAAGGAAACCCTGCCCGGGCTTCTGCCCTCGGCTCGGGATGACCTTGGTCGGGAGTTTTCCTTCTGGGGGGCCTCGGGTTTCCCCCGTCTGTAGTAGTCTGAGGTCCCCGTCTTGGTCCTCACCTGCGGCATCATTCCTAAAGCGCCCCTGAAGGATGGAGATGACCCGGCTTCCCAGCGACGAGAGGGGAGGCTCGGGGCGGCGGCCGCTGATTGGCTGCCGGGAGCGCCGTGTGGGGTCCGCCCGCGGGTCTGTGGTGCGGAGGATATAATTATTTGATTAACACGTCACTTGGCCTCTTCCCCTCCCACGTACAGATTTCTCCAGGAAAGGGAGAAGGGATCTGGCCCAGGACGTCCAGGCAGGGTTTGAATCCTGGTCTAATCTAAGCACGGAGGCCAGGGGTTTTATTTTATTTTTCTCTTTTTGGGGGGTCAACCTGGCAACGCTCAGGGGTTACTCCTGGCTCTGCACTCAGGAATTACTCCTGGCGGTGCTCAGGGGACCCTATGGGATGCTGGGAATCGAACCCGGGTCAGCCGCGTGCAAGGCAAGTACTGTACTATCGCTGTACTATCGCTCCAGCTCCAAGGCCAGGGGTTTTAAACAACACGCCTCACCAGAAAACCGTGGACCCTCCTCTACCCACTTACCCGGTTTCCATTGCTCCCTCCCTTTTTCTGCTGGCGGGGGAGCTATTCCAGGCTCAGTTATTTTTCTTTTTGGGCCCTGTCCGGCGGTGCTCAGGGGTTACTTCTAGCTCTGAATTCAGGAATTACCCCCGGCAGTGCCCAGGGGACCATCTGGGATGCCGGATAGAACCCAGGATAGAACCCAGGTCAACTGGGTGCAAGACAAGCACCCTCGCCATTGTACTATCGTTTGGGTCCCAGGTTCAGTTAAGGGATCGCTCCTGGTGGTTCTTGGGGACCAGGTAGTGCCAGGGATCAAACTCAGGGCGCCAGTTTACCGTGAATGTACTTTAGACCTTTGAGTTATCTTCCCAGCCCTATATACCCTAACGTCTTTTGGAGTGAAGGGGAGTTGGAATACAAACACCCCTAGTGCTCAGATGCTATTACTGGCTCTGTGCTCAGGAGTGACCTCTGGCGGTGGATCAAACCAGAGTCTACCTGAAATCAAACCAGCACCTTAACCTCTGTACTATCTTTCTGGCCCGTCCCCTGACACCTCATGAATTTATTCCGCAAAATTCCTCCTCAGTGGAACTGGAGAGATAGTATAGAGGAGAGGGCACTTACCTTGCATGTAGCCAACCCGGGTTCGATCTCTGGCATCCTATATGGTCCCCAGAGCAATGCGAGAATTAAGCCCTGAGCATTGCAGGATGTGGCCTTCAAACAGAAACAAAAACCCTCCTCCTCAGTCAGCAGTGCTGCAAACTGGGCACAAGTGAGGAGGGGAGAGCGAGGGCCCTTTGGTCCTCCCCAAGCGGGAGGTCCTTGGCCTCTGAGAAGAAAGAGGCATAGAGAAATGCCGGAATTTGGAACCAGGTTTGGCTGGCAGTAGCAGGGCTGCTGACCATCCTGTTCTGATCCCAGGCCTGATAAGGGCTAGAGACCACGTGAAGTGAGCTGAGGTTTGTGCAGAAGCCAGGACTGGGCAGGGTGCGGGGAGGGCCGCAGGGCGGGTGGGGCTGGATCTTTCCTCCTTCAGTCCTCCCTGCCCTGCGCCACAGGGCAGGAGAATTAGACCAGTCTAATGGGTATAGATAGCAGAGGGGAACAGAGCGCCTGCCTTACCCCAGGCCCCACACAGCTAGTCCTGGTCAGGGCAGCACAGAGTCCTATGTGGGGCCTTGGGGACTAGCACTCTTTCTTTGTCCATACTCATCCCCCAGCTCCAAAAACCTTCTGGTAGACCTCAGTCTGCAAGGAATCAGGTAGTGTGAGGGATGGGGCCAGTCCCCTTGTCAGTGACCCTTGTTCACCCCAGTCTGTCCGCATGGGTCTCGAGGTCCTGGGAAAGAATCCTCACCCCCACCCCAGCTCCAGGTGGTGGTGGTGGGGAGACCCTCCCCCGAAATCGCCTGGGTGGCCCCTGCATTTCCCAGATGTCCTTGTTCCTCCGTGTGTCTCCACGGCAACCACAGCCCCTGGCCCTGGCCTCCAGGACCCGCTGACCTTCCTTGCAGACCCTCTTTCCCACAGGCAGGTGACCTGGCCTCCCAGGAGAAGGGGGAGACTAGATGTCTCAAGCTGGGTTGCTTGCCAGTTATTTTGAAGTGGGGGCCTCTAAGGCCCTCACACTTGTGGGGGAAGGGTCTACGTCTGGCTTAGGGTCACTTCCAGCTACTGACTCTCTTGCTGGTATAGAACCAGCAAAGCTTGGCCAGCAAAGCTTGCTGAGCTGGCTCTTCTGCCCTGAGGGCCTCAGCTTTTCTTTCCTTTTTTTAGAGGGGAGGATTACACCTGGTGGTGCTCAGAGCTCACTCCTCTGTGCTCAGGGGGATCACTCCTGGTGGTGCTCTGGGGACCTTAGGGGGTTCTGGGGATGGAGACCAGATGGACTGCACGCACGGCAAACTCCCTGCCTGCTGTACTGTTGCTTCATCCCGGGGCCTCAGTTTTTCTAGCTTTCTAGGTGCAGAAAGGAGAGCCCCCAGCCTTCCCCTCCTCCCTCAGCACCTGGACCAGTTAAATCAGCGACCTCCCCGTCTTCAAGGGTTGGGATGGGTACTAGACAGGTGGGGGCTGAGGCGCCTTCTAAGGCTGTAGGGAGGTGCCATCCACCTTCGAGTCAGCAGGCAGTCAGGCCAGGAACAGCTGCCTGCAGGGAAGAGGGGGAGCCCTGCTTTTCTCCAACCCGAGGGCAGGTAGAAGCACCCTCAGCCGCAGGTGGGTGAGGCTGGCCCAGCCAGTGATCCGCACAGTCAACCAGGGCACTTCTGGGTCATGGTCCAGTGAAACTGGTCCAGGCCACTGCACTGGGGGAGGGCGGGAGGGGGGAGCGGTGTGAGGAGGGAGAAAGATCCAGGCTAGGTGTGCCTGGGGGGTGTTGGGGGCCCGCTGCAGAGGGCAGCCTCCCTCCCCCAAAGCTGTCAAGGCCTGTTGGCTGCGGAGTCTGGTCAAACTCCCCAGGACCGCGGCGGGGCTAGGGGTGGGGGTGGCGGGCAGGAAGTTCCAGGTGTTGGCGGCTACGGGCGTCTGGACTGGCCCCGCCTCCTGTCCCTGGAGCAGGTGTCCCGACTCGCGGCGACGTGCCAGCGACCCTCCCCCGTCTGCGGCCGGCCGGGTCACGGCCCCTCCCCAGGGGGAGTGAAAGAAGTGGGTGGTGGACCCCGGAGCAGGAAGAGGGAGGACGGGCCCGGGGCAGGTAGCGGGCACAGGGCCTTCCGGGGTGGCCGCTCCGGCTTCCTCGGGCCGTCCGAGGGGTTCCCCCGTTTCTCCCGCTCCGGGGGTGAGGGGGATATCCTCCACCCGCCCCGGGCCAAGGCGCGGGGCTCAGGCCCCTCCGCCCAGAGCCTCCCCGCCCCTTCGAGCTCAGCCGAGCGAGGTGAAACCTGAAGCCAGGTTGGGGGCGGGGCTGCTTTCTGCCGGGACGGGGCCGGCCCGCGCCTCCACCTCCCCTTACCCGCTCGGCCGCCGGCTGCGCCAGGTCCGGGGACCCCAAAACGTGGGAGCAGGTGAGCGGCGGGCGCGGCGCGCGCGGAAGGGCCAGGCGGCCGTCGGTCCCCGGTGCCCGAGGTTGGGCCTCCCCTCCCTGGCTCTCCGCCTCCCCCCGAGCCCCCCGGCCCCGCGATGGGGCCCGGCTGCTGGCGTCGCGTCCCGCCCTGAGCGCCCCCCATTCGCGGCCATGCTGCCCCGAGGGCGACCCCGAGCTCTGGGCGCCGCCGCGCTGCTGCTACTGCTCATCGGATTCTTCCTGTTCGCCCGCGACCTGGACGGTGAGCGGCGAGCGGCCCGGCCAGGTGGGGGGGCCCCGCCGAGCCTCCCCGGGGCGCTGACGCCACGTGTCCCCTCTCCAGATGGGCGGCCGCGGGGAGCCTCTGCCCTCGAGGACGGAGACCGGCCGCCCGCGCCCCACAACCTCTCCGACGCCGCCCCGCTGCCACCCAAATGCGAGGTAGGTGGCGCGGCCCCCGGCGCGGCGGGAATCCCCCAGTCCCGACACCTGGGCACCTGTGGGAAGCGGCACACCTGGTGCCCAGCTGCGCCACACCCTGGCCAGCTGGGGCCGCCTGGGCCGCGCGCCTCCGGGCCTCGGTTTCCCCATTTAAGCGATGGGTCGGACTCCTGTGCGCCCCGCGCGCCCCCAGCCCCGAAGCCCACCTTGCTCTCTGTCCTCCCGCAGCTCCTGCATGTGGCCATGGTGTGTGCGGGTCACAGCTCCAGCCGGGATGTGGTCACGCTGGTCAAGTCCATGCTCTTTTACAGGTACAACTAGGGGTGGGCGCTGGGAAGACTCAGAGCCAAGGCCGGGCTGTGAGCTGGGGCAGGCGCTTGGGTGTTGACGAGCCCCGCACCCCCTCCTGTTGCGCCCCCAAGGAAGAACCCCCTGCACCTGCACCTGGTGACCGACACTGTGGCCAGAAACATCCTGGAGACCTACTTCCGCACGTGGATGGTGCCCGCGGTCCAGATCAGCTTCTACAACGCGGATGAGCTCAAGGCAGGGGCCTCGGCTTTGCCCAGCGCCCCCCCTCCCCAGGGAGGGAGTGTGGAGAAGGGACCCCTGCAGGCCCTGTGTCCCCCAAACTCCTATACCAGGGCTCCCCTGTTCTCCCTCCACTTTGTTCTGGCTCACAGGGGCTCCTTCACCCCGCTGTCCTCACCGCAGCCGCAGGTGTCTTGGATCCCCAACAAGCACTACTCTGGCCTCTATGGGCTGATGAAGCTCGTGCTGCCTGGCGTCCTGCCCCCCGACCTGGCCCGCGTCATTGTCCTGGACACAGACGTCACCTTTGCCTCCGACATTGCTGAGCTCTGGGCGCTCTTCGCCCACTTTTCCGGTGAGAGGCCCAGGACCCTGCCACCCCCACCCCAGCCCAGCGGGGGTCCTGGGCAGCCTCAGGCAGCTCCCCTGTGCCCTGCCCTCCCTCCCAGACGAGCAGGCCATCGGTCTCGTGGAGAATCAGAGCGACTGGTACCTGGGCAACCTCTGGAGGAACCACAGGCCCTGGCCAGCTCTGGGCCGGGGATTCAACACAGGTGGGGAGAGTGCAGAGGTGGGAGGGGTGCAGGTGGGGTCCCCCCGGGGGCTGGGCAGGGCACAGAGTGCTATAAGCCTTTCATATTCGGTGGAAAGGGGACATGCTTGGGGACAGCCTCCAAGTTGGCTGTACCACTGGCTAGGTTTTCTCCTCTGCAAACTGGGGGTGATTTTGCCAGTCCTGGGGTATCTGAGAGGGAGCAGACGACTGTGGGGGTGCTCTTTGAGCCAGAAGAGAACGACTTGGTGGCAGCGGTCACCCCTGCTTACATCTGGTCAGACACAGGCTGGAAGTGCAGAGCCTGGGGCATTGCAAAGCCACTGTGGCCACCACACAGGCCTGCCCCCCCCCCCCACTGTCCCCTGCCAGGCGTGATCCTCCTGCGACTGGACCGCCTGCGGCAGGCTGGCTGGGAGCACACGTGGAAGCAGACAGCCACGAGGGAGCTCCGCACCCTGCTCGCCACCTCGCTGGCCGACCAGGTCTGGGTAGGGGGGCCCTGGGGTGGGGTGGGGCTTCGAGGTGGCAACAGCCCCGGGTGATGATCATGTCACACAGGATGTGTTCAACACCATCATCAAAGAGCGTCCCGGGCTGGTGCGGCCCCTGCCTTGCGTGTGGAACGTGCAACTCTCCGACCACACACTGGCTGAGCGGTGTTACTCGCAGGCGCCTGACCTCAAGGTGAGCAGGGGTGGGTGAGCAGGGGGGTGGTCCTACTCCCGTGACCCCCGCCACGCCTCACTCCCACCCTGCCGGGACACAGGTAATCCACTGGAACTCCCCCAAGAAGCTGCGCGTCCAGCACAAGCACGTGGACTTCTTCCGCAAGCTGCACCTCACCTTCCTGGGCTACGATGGGAACTTGCTTCGGAGAGAGCTGCTGGGGTGCCCTGGCCCGCTGCCCCCCGGGGCCCTGCAGGTGAGCTGGGGCTGTGGGGAGGCTGTGCCCATCTCAGCCGTGTCTCAGGGAGCCCAGGCCTGACCCAGCCGCCTGCTCTCAGCTGCAGCAGGCTCTGGCCCAGCTCGACGAGGAGGACCCCTGTTTCGAATTCCGACTGCAACGGCTCACGGTACCCCGCGTGCACCTCACCTTCCTGCCCCATGAGCCCCCACCTGCCCGGCCCCACGATGTCACCCTGGTGGCCCAGCTCTCCATAGACCGGTGAGGGTCGGGGCCATCCACGGTGATGGTGGTGTGTATGTGTGTGTGTGGGGTGGGGGGGAAGTGGCAGGAAGTTGGAGACACAAGCGAGGGGGGCAGGGGACTTGGGAGGGGCTGGGGTCCCCTTCTGACCAGTGAGCAAGCACCTCACAGTGAGCTTGTCCTGCAGCTGAGGATGCCCCCAGCTGGCACTCAGTAAGCGGTTGGGTCGGGGTGGGGGTGACGTGCCTGCCCCGGCCTCCCTGCGACGACCACCACCTGCCTCACCCACCCCAGGCTGCAGATGCTGGAGACTCTGTGCAGGCACTGGCCGGGCCCCATGAGCCTGGCCTTGTACCTGACAGACGCAGAGGCCCAGCAGTTCCTGCACTTCGTGGAGTCCTCGGCTGTGCTGTCCTCACGGCGTGATGTGGCTTACCACGTGGTGTACCGGGAGGGACCCCTGTACCCTGTCAACCACCTTCGCAATGTGGCCTTGGCCCAGGCGCTCACGCCCTACGTCTTCCTCAGCGACATTGACTTCCTGCCCGCCTTCTCCCTCTACGACCACCTCAGGTGAGGCCATGGCTGGTGGGCAAGGAGGGCCGATGGGATCTCAGGGCTGTCCCATGCCTTAGTATCCTCGAGACTTTGGGGATGTGTGGAGCAAGGGGTGGGGGGGGCCCGGTCACTTCTCTGGGCTGTCCTAGAATGGGAGGTCCCTGGCCTGTCTCCTGTGGGGTCTCGTCAGAGTCAGGAGACCCCGTGCCCGAGGTGGAGTGCCCTCTTCCCTCTCCCTGTGTCTCCCCACTTCAGGATGTCCATCGAGCATCTGGAGCTGGGCAGCAGGCGGAAGGCGGCCCTGGTGGTACCAGCCTTCGAGACCCTTCACTACCGCTTCAGTTTCCCCAGTTCCAAGGCCGAGCTCTTGGCCCTGCTGGACTCAGGCGCCCTCTATACCTTCAGGTAGGGCTCCCCTCCCCCACTGCACTGTGTCCTGCTCTGATTTCCCGCCACCCGCACCTCAATCGGCCTCTCTGTTAGGTTCCATGAGTGGCCCCGGGGCCACGCGCCCACGGACTATGCCCGCTGGCGGGAGGCGCAGGCCCCGTACCGCGTGCAGTGGGCCGCCGACTACGAGCCCTATGTGGTGGTGCCACGGGACTGTCCCCGCTACGACCCCCGCTTTGTGGGCTTCGGCTGGAACAAGGTGGCCCATGTCGTGGAGCTGGATGCTCAGGTGAGGCTCCGAGTCTGCCCTTTACTGGTGGCTTGTCTCCCCCACCCCGCCCAGCAGTGACCCGGCCACACCCCACCCCGCAGGAATACGAGCTGCTGGTTCTACCTGAGGCCTTCACCATCCACCTGCCACACACCCCAAGTCTGGACATTTCCCGCTTCCGCTCCAGCTCCACCTACCGCGCCTGCCTGCAGGCCCTCAAGGATGAGTTCCACCAGGACCTGTCCCGACGCTACGGGGCTGCTGCCCTCAAGTACCTCACTGCCCTGCAGCGGCCCCGCGGGTGACCCCTGACCCCCTCCCAGCTATTTAAGTTATTTACATTCCCTACGGGAAGGACTGGGCGGCACCCCTGGCTGGGGCCTAAGGGCCTCTTGCTGCTATTCGTGGCCTGGGTCAAGTCTCCCTCTGCCCCAGCTGCTGGGGGCTGGTTCCCCCATCCCCATTTCGTCATGAAAGATTTCATACCTCCTTTGTGGGTGCCCCTGGCTTGGGGTCCCAGGGGTCCTTGCCTTGGGGGCCGGTGGCTGCTGCAGTTGTGTCTGATCTGCCCTCCCTGGCCCCAAACCCAACACCACAAGGCAGAGAGACTTTATTTGGCTTTATTTAGTAAAATGTTAAAATAAATAAATACAAATTGATCAGCTGCTCTGTATTCCCCCCACCCCCTCAAAACAAAACAAAACAAAAAAAAATCAAACAAACAAAAACAAAAACTTTGAAGCACAAAACTCCAAATACAAGTTCTACCAAGACTGAAATCACAAAGGGCCTGGACACGAGACAGGGTGGGGGCTTGGCTGGCTCTGTTCTGCTCGCAGCTGCCTCTCCTCTGGCCTGCCCATCCCGCCTGACTGCAGCTTCCCCCGGGCTGGGACCCAGGGGCACTGGAGAGGTGCAGGGGCCAGAGGCTGCTGGGGGCACAGTGGGGTCCTCTGAGAGTCACCACCTGCTTCCTCCCCGTCCCCCTGGGGGAAAGGCGCCCCCTTCCTGAAGAGGTGCCAGCCCTGAGGACAAGCTTAAGTCAGGGTGAGCCTGGGTCTCCTGTTTCCTGCCAAGGGTGCCCAGCTGAGGGGTGGGGGTGAGGCCCAGCCAGTCCCACAGCGCCCACATTGCCACCACTCCCCCCTAAAGCCACGGAACTGGAGAACCCAGGGCTAGCACAGCGCTGGGTCTCGGTCAGTCCCACAAGCCCCAGAGCCTGTGGCTCTCGGGGTGCAAGTCTCCTAAATGAAGCCCTTTGGAGAGTAGGAGAGAACCCACACCCTGAAAGGTCGGCGGCGTCTGAGCTGGGAGTGAGCCCGACGAGGAGGCCCCGACGGTCCCCAGAGAGGAACCATCCAAGATGGCTGAAGAGGCAGGAGATGACCCGCGGACAGGGAGGTGGCAGGTCCCGTGCTGGGGGGGGTGTAGGGGATGCAGCGGGGGGGGGGGGGCTGTCATGCCCCGATCACACCACCTGCCGAGCCTGAGCCGAGAAGCAGTGACAGAGGTGGGCCTGGTGGGACGCCTGCCACACAGAAGGTACCAGCTGGAGGCAGGCATGGCCAGCTGCATGCCTCACCTGGGTAAGGCTCCCCTCCCAAGTTCAGCCCCTCTGCCAGGCACTGCTGAGGGGCCTGATGAGGAGGAAGGAAGCGAGCAGAGCTCTGGTGGGCGGGCGAGCAGAGGCGAGACAAGACCCGGCAAGCTCCTGGAAAGCCGAACGAACGGCCCGCAGGCAGCGATGGCAGGAAGGGGAGGCAGAGGTGATGCATCGTGTGGAGAACTCGCTGCCTCCAGGGGCCTGAGCTGCGCGGGGCCTCTGGGTCCCGGAGCAGGAAGGGGGCTGGCAAAGAGGACTCCGGTCTCAGAGAGCAGGAGCCGCAGGAGAGAAGAGGCGGGAGGTGAGCCCACGAGGGCAGGCTGTCTGCAGTGTGTGTCTGGGGGGTCTGGGCACCCACAGGGTGGGGGATAGGGTGGGGGGTGCGGCGGGGCCGTGAAGGGAAAGGCGTGGAGGAGGAGGGCCTTCTCTTTATAGTAAGGAACGTTTGGGAACGGGAGTCCGGGATGCGGGACCGAGGCGAGGCTGCCTGCAGACCCTGCGCTAGCCTAGCTGAGGCATGAAGCAGATCGGAGCTTTCGGAGGGATGTGGACAAAGATGGGAGCCTGAATCGCTCACGGCCGCCAGCTGGACCCTGGGCTGTCACTTCGACTCCACCCCCAGGCCCCTCGGAACCTGTGGGCAGCTCTTTTCTGAGCCAAGGTCTTAGCGAGCTCCCCAAATTCATCTAAGAAAAAAAGAGGCACGGGGTGATATCACCCACCCCGCTGCCTTTGGATCCAGATGAGTCACAAGGCCGCCTAAGCCAGAGTCTGCTGCGGGGCACCAAACCTCTGCCAACAACTCCAACTAGTCAGGGCACCTCCACCGCGTGCAGACCAGACAGCACCTGGGGCTCTGCAAGAGAAAGGGCAGCGCCTCCTGGTCTTTCTCCGCCAAGCCTGCAGCCCAGCCCCACTTTCTCCCCTTCGCTCCCGTCCCTGGCACACACAAGTAGCTGGCAGAGCCTGAACACAGTGTGCCTAAGGGTCTGTCTCAGCCGCTTTGGCCTTTAGGCTCCTTCTGTCTCAAAAGGGACCCTTTCTGCCTCTTCTAGGCCAAAGAATGCACCACTGACTTTGGGCACCTGGGTGTTCTCGAAGAGGCAGCGGCATGCCAGACCAGGGCAAGCCCAGTGTGTCCAGCCGAAGGCCGGTTACCTAAGAAGCTGTGTGTGTGTGTGTGTGTGTGTGTGTGTGTGTGTGTGTGTAAGAGCTGGGATGGATTCCCGGTTACCTAAGAAGTTGTGTGTGTGTGTGTGTGTGTGTGTGTGTGTGTGTGTAAGAGCCAGGATGGATTCCCGGTTACCTAAGAAGGGGTGTGTGTGTGTGTGTGTGTGTGTGTGTGTGTGTGTAAGAGCCGGGATCCCGGTTACCTAAGAAGCTGTGTGTGTGTGTGTGTGTGAAGCCCAGCGTCTCCAAAGGCGGTTACTTTAGAAACTGTGTGTGTGTGTGTGTGTGTGTGTGTGTGTGTAAGAGCTGATGGATTCCATAGCTGGCGCCCAGAGTCTGAGGGCCAAGAAAGCAAGCCGCTGGAGATCAGACCTCCCTTCAAAGGCCAGATAGCTACCAGGCCGCCCCGGGCTGCCGTGTCTGGGAGACACCAGGTCCCACCAGCCCTCTCTCTCCTTGGCTCTCAGCAGGTCGCTCGTGCCCGGCCTGTGCCCTGCATGTTCCCACTGGAACGGGGTGCATGGGCCCAGGGAGCAGCACTGCCATTGACCCCTCAGTTGTTCCCCAGGCACTCCGAATGCTGGTGGATGAAAGACCGAGGGCAGCACCAAAGGAAAGGGTCTTAGTTAGGCATCAGCCTTTTTGTTCTAGCAATTTCCGAGGAGACATCAGGAAGGGCCTCGAGAGCATCCACACTCCATCTGGGCTTCGAAAACAGGAGCCAGGATCCCTGCCAAGAAGACAGGCCCGTCCCTTCTGAGAGGGGAGGCCGGGGGGCAGCCGCAGGCGCCCTCTGAGGCCAAGAAGCCTGGAGATTGGCCCACCAGGCTTGAGACACAAACACAGCAAAATGTCATCAGAAGCAGCAGGTTCTGTGCTAAAAAATTATAACTACACAGCATTTTCTCCAGTTCTGACACCTTTTTAATAGAAATCACTGCTTTTAGGAAACAAATAGCACTTTTGTAATTTTTTTTGTACAATGTTTCTTACCTTGATCTTAATTTCAGTAACACTAGGAAGAGCTCAATATCTTTTATTTTCCTTTTTTAATTAAAAAAAAAAGTTGCTGTTGTTGTTTTTCCCCAGATACAAAGATTTTTGCCCTTGCATAAAAAAACAGTGCCCAAACGATGACACAAGGACTCACACAGACTCACTGGACCTCACTGACACTAGATTCCTATTCTACCATGCAAGGTCTCGACTACCCTTAAGTGGACTGTCAGCCTGAAAAACAGCTTTTCTATTCCTTATTTTAGTTTTGTTACCAAAAAAAAAAAAAAGTAAAATAAACAACAGAAAAATACTTCTTAAAAGAACAAAAAAAAACAAAAATAAAAAATTTTTTAAAATGAAAAAAAAAAAAGAAAAGAAACGTCTCCATTCGACTCCCCCACGCGGGTCGCGTGCTGCTTCTCCCAGGATCTTCTCTCCTTATAAATATAGAAAAGGGATGGAGCTTGTGTTCAAGTCAAGTCACTGATCCACCGTCTTCCTTCCTGACACATACACCCCTGCGCCGAGGGCCCTTGTTTCGGGGCAGGGAAGGGAACCGGATCATCGGCGGGCATGTGCCGATTTGCCAAAGCAGGGCCGGAACCGGGATGGGGGGTGGGGGTGTGGAGGGTTTGGGAAGTGGGGTGGGGCGCGCGGCAGGGGCACTCGTGGTGGGGGAGCTGAGTGCTCCAGAGAAGAACCGGGTGTTTGATCTTGGGGTCCCTCTCCGCACTGTACCCCACCCCGGACGGTATGAAATACTGCTTATCTGATAAGACTTTCCCACCCCGGTTCCCTCCCGGCCCCTCCCCACCCCTCCTCTGGGCACTGGGGTTGGTGAAATCTCAATTTCCTTTTTTTTTTTTTTCTTTTTTTGGTTTTATAGTAGTGAAAGTTTAGAAACAGGAAAGCCCACACACTCTTTGGACTTGTCTTCTCTACCTAGACAAACGGCTCGGCAAATAAGGATCTGAAACCTGCTCTCCTCCCTCCGCCCGTCCCTGCTCCCCCCAACGAAACAAAAACAAGCCCATGGCGGCTGTGGCGGCTGCTGCAGGCACACACTGGTGTATAATAGAGAGAGTAAATATATTATTTCACTTGGCATGGTGCTGGCAAAGAACCTCCAGCTGGCACTATTTCATGTAACATGGTCCAATCTTTGCATGTACACACAGAATAAGAAGGATCAATTGGCAAACTCTGGTGCCACCTGGCACAAGCATCTTCTCTCTCTCTGGAACCAAAGAACCAAAAGAATTCTGTACTTTCCAGAAGAAATCCGGCTTTGCTTTCCTAGAGTCTTCAGTGTTCCGCTCTCCCGGCCGCCGGGACCCCGAGGCATCCGGCGCCGCGCTGTTATTTCGTCTCCTCCCCCTGGGTACAGTTCGCTGTGCGGCTCTGGGAGGAGGGGGAGGGGGCCGGCGTGGAGGTGGCGGCATTGGCAGGGGGGGTGCAGTCCGGGCCATTGGACATGGCCCCCACAGTGGCCTCAGAGTCTACGGGTTTGGAGAGGTCGATGCCGTGGATGAGGCGGATCAGCTGTTTGACCTTTTCCAACGAGCTGTGCATCTCCTTCTGCCGGGCCAGGATGGTGCTCTTCATCTCCATGCATTTCTGCAGCAGGCGGGAAGGACACACACACTGAGCGCCCTGCTTTCCTGACAGCCCCTCAGCACGCGGCAGGCCAGAGAAGCCTCCAGCGCCTGCTCGGTTCCAACGGGGAGGAGGTGCTGCTACCCCCCTCCCCGGACCCCGGGGAAGGAAGAGGCCCAAGAGATAGGAGAGTGGCCCCACCAACCCTCCATGGGCCGCAGGCTAGCGCTGGGGTCACAGGCCTGCGTCTGGTTTGATCCCCGCAGCTGCCTGGCCCAAGTCGCGTCACATCCTCAGGCCCTAGCTGTTGAACCGTCCAGCCCGGTGTGGTTGTGTATTGTTGGGAGTAGCCCCTAGGCCCAGGGAGCACCGCTGTAAGGCCACTATAATTCTAGCCCCAAAGGAAAGTCACTCAAAAACCAAGCTCCGGGGCTGGAGTGATAGCACAGCATGTAGGGCGTTTGCCTTGCATGTAGCTGACCTAGGTTCGATTCTCAGCACCCCATGTGGTCTCCTGAGCACTGCCAGGAGTAATTCCTGAATGCATGAGTCAGTAATTCCCCTGTGCATCGACACAAGTGACCCAAAAAGCAAACAAAAGCAAAAACAAAAAAAAAAAAACAAAAAACAAGCGCCTTTGGGGCTGGAGCCAAAGTACATCAGATAAGGCACTTGCCTTGTACGCTGCCAACCTGGGTTTGATCCCCCGCATCCCATTTGGTCTCCCGAGCACCACCAGGAGTGATTTATGAGTGCAGAGCCAGAAGTAAACCCTGAGCATCACTGGGTGTGACCCCAAAACCAAACAAAACAAATACCAAGCTCCCAGGGTACCAGGATATGGCTTTGCACAGCAGAAGTCTTTGGGCTCTGTGCTTAGTATCACAAAAGAGACCAAGACAGGACCAAGTTCCCAGAGCTTCACTGGAACTTTGGAATGCTTTGCTGGGTTTGGCCTGAGCTCTCCATGCAGAAAATGAGCCCATGGCATTTGAGTTTCCTGTGAGGCATCACTGAGGATGGTTTTGTCAGAAATATTTTATTTTTATTTTTTACTCTCGTTTTGGGGCCACATCTGGGCGGTGCTCAGGGATGACTTCTGGGGGTGCTTAGGAGACCATACAAGGTGCAAGGGATCAAACCACATCCACAGTAAGAGTTTAATTCCCTGTACTAACTTTGCGGCTCTTTAGCAAGATTTTAGAGACAGGGTCCTGGGGCATCAGGGTGCTATTTAAGAGACTTAAAGACTGTAGCCAACAGCATCCCTCTGCCAGGTCACAGACTTGGAACCTTTTGCCCTTGGTGTGCCATGCCTATTGGCTTCTGTTCTAGGCAGGGGCAGAGATGTGAAACAAACACGACACAGGAAATAAGGAGAGGAAGAGAAAGCAGACAAGTGGGACGCTCAATTGCCAACCAATCTACGGCACCACCTGCAGTTCATTCCACCAAGAGAACCAACTCAGCGGAAAGAAACGTTGCTCCCCTAGGAGGAGCCTTTGAATCACTGCAGCAGATACCAGCCTCGCTCCCAGCAGGCCTGACTGCCAGTACGTGTGTCAAACAGCGCTCTTTCTCAGGCTGGCCGGGGGAAACCTAGAAAGACATTCAGCACCGTGGAAAGCGTAGGAGACCACGCCCAGGGACCCACTGGCTCCAGCAACTGGAATCATACGGGGTCCGTGGGCTCTGTGTCAGCCACACACCAACCCCTCCTAAACACGTCTGGACGTTCTGGAGCTTGGGTAAGTTACCACATCCCAGTTGCACACCTGTACCTTGAGGGTCAATCTCTCACAGGAGGCGAACTGTCCACCTGTGCTAACTGCAGAGCTGGGACCGAACCAGCAACCGGGAGCCACGTGTGCGGGTGGGTCTGCATGGGAGAAGTTCTCTAGCTCCATGTCTCTCACTGGGGCCAGGAGATTTACTTACACTTATAGAATTGCTGAGCTGTTTCACCTTCTGCTCTAGTTGTTCTCGTTCTTGTTTTAAATCTGAACTCCATTTAAGTAACTTCTGCTTCTCTTCTTCTTTTGCTAGAAAAAAAAAAGGGGGGGCATCCATTTTAACAATGATCCTTAAAAACAATTCTTAAAAACTGGGGCCACCTCAGTGTTGTGTGGGTGTTACCTGGGCTCTGCCCAGTGGTATTTCAGGGTTCAAACTTGTGGCTTCTTGATGTAAGGCATGGATTCAATCCCTTGGATTGGTCCCTCAACCTCAAAGCATAGATTCTTTGAATACTTTCAGAATGCTTTCTTTGGCAAGTATTTTTCACGAAGTACCCCAGAACTTCTCAGCCAGGCAGAGAATGGGCCTACTGGAACCTCATTTTTCCTTTGTTCACATCCCCTAGGATGACAGTGCTAGGAAAACTCAGTGACCCAGAGCTGGTTGAGGTCAATCAGATACCATTTCTCTTTCACCAGAAACATGTTACACAACTTTTTCTACTTCAAAGCTTTTCATAGTTTTTCACTTTAAATTTCCTTTTGAAACAAATACTGCCCTCCAGTACTTTTTTTTTTTTTAAACGAGGGTGGTTTACAAATGGGATAATTCTTTACCTGCTTTGTAGGCGATATAGGAATGAACGATTGCTAAAGTTCCAGGCCAGGGGATTGCTTCTTCCTTCTTCAGCATCTGCAAAGATTTTTTAGAATTTTATCTCAAGAAGGAGGCATAAGTACTCCCTCCCTGTTAGCAAAGTGTCTCTCTGAGGCCAGACAAAATCCAGGGAGTATTTAAGGTGTCAGTGGGGAAAACACCCACGAAAACGGTTTCTGGACTACAAAGTTCCTGACACCAGCATCGGAGAAAAAGGTTCAAGTCACTACAAAGCGCCAACTGCTCAACCGTTAGAACCCACCAGGATGGAGCGGCTGCTGGCAACCATTTTTGAGGGCCTAGTAAGCTGGAATCAGGCCCCTATTCTAGCTTACTATGACTCCAGCTTACTCGGCCCTCAAAAATGGCATCCCCTGGGATGATGTTTAATGAATGCTTAATCCAAAGCCCGTGTAGAAAATGGGAGAGGGTTACAAAGCAGCACCAGGTAAGAAGAGAATCATCCCTACTGCACCCTGGGTGAATCCGAGATTCAGGGGGAAACCAGAATTCTCTCGAATCCAGATCCCAGTGAACTGAGCAGGATGCCAAAGCTTCCTGAGCTTCTGGGCTTTATTTTCACATGTATGCTTTGCCCACTTCCAAACAAAACAAAACAAAACAAAAAGCATGTAATACAAACAAAAGTTACAGAGACCGAGAGGTAGTACTGCGGGTGAGGCATTTGCCTTGCACGTGGCAGACCTGGGCTCAATCCCTGGCACCCCATATGGTCCCCTGAGCACCCCAGAAATAATCCCTAAGCACAGAGCCAGGAATAAGCCCTAAGTGCAGATAGGTATGGCCCTAAATTAAAAACAAAACAAAACAAAACAAAAACCAACCAACACCCTCCCCAAAAATAAGCATCCCAAGACCCAACAAAAAACCCAACTACCAAACTAAACCAAACCAAAACAAAAAGCCACAAACCCCTAAATTTATAAAGACAAATTAGCAGTTGAAAAAACAAAATCGAAAACTAAAAGGATGGAAAATGTTGGGTCATGATGTGTTTGCCTCTGAAGTCCATAAAATACTAAACAGAGGGCTGGAACAATAGCACAGAAGGTAGGGTGTTTGCCTTGCACACGGCCGACCCTAGTTGGATTCCCAGCATCCCATATGGTCCTGCGAGCACCGCCAGGAGTGATTCCTGAGTGCATGAGCCAGGAGTAACCCCTGTGCAATGCCGGGTGTGATCCAAAAAGGAAAAAAAAAAAAACCAAACAGATTTCTGATCCTGATAAGTTAAAAATGAAGCTGTTGTTATTTGAATTAAGCAATTAATTGGGCATTTTTTTTTTCTTTAAGGACTTAGTTTCCCAAGCAAGAGTTTCAAAACCATAAATTGATTTGGTCTATTCTTAGAGAACGAGATAGAGTCTTAAGAACTTTTAAGGATCAAGATAATGAGAAGATAAGCTATTTCTCCCTTTTTTGGTTTTCGGATGACACTTGGCAGTGAGTTACTGCTGGCTCTGAACTCAGAAACCCCTCCCATCGATATGTGCCGAAAGTAGATAATGGACCAAACATGATGATCTCTCAGTGTCTGTATTACAAACCATAATGCCCCAAAATAGAGAGAGAGTATGGGGAATATTGTCTGCCATGGAGACGGGGGTGGGGTGTGTGTGGACATACTGGGGAGATCGGTGGTAGGGAATGTGCACTGGTGGAGGGATGGGTGTTTGATCATTGTGTGACTGTAACCCAAACATGAACGCTTGTAACTTTCTCACAGTGATTCAATAAAATTTAAAAAAAAAAAAGAAGAAACCCCTCCCATCAATTCTTGGGGGAGAGATGTGGTACTGGTGACTGAACTCGGGTGTCCCATCCACTGAGCTACCAGCGCTTCTGCCCTGAAGATCAGACACTTCAAACAGGAGATAGCTAAGGGAGACAGACCCTCTGAGAACAACACTGAACACCTGTGCTGTGCTGTGAAAAGGCAGGTGTGGCCTAGGGAAGAACTAGTGAGAGAGGGCAGAGATGCTGCCTCCATGCCCGCCAGAAGAGACCCCCTCGTTGACAACCCCAGTACCTGGTCCTGACATCTAGGACATATCCACATGCCCTTGGGAATTGTTTTCAGAGGCGGGTCTAAGCAGTCCAGGTGATACACACGGGAGCACGTGTCACACATGAGCAACTGGCCACTTTTTCTGCAAACACTGCAAAAATCCTCATGGATATCACCCTATGAAATGGAGAGGAAAGGTAAGAGAGAGAACAAAGAGAAGAGGTAAACTTTGAATAGTAACATCAAACGCTGGATACATTGAAGTGTAAATGTAGGGCAAATATCTGTGCCCCCATCCAATATGTTACAAGAACATTTTCCAAGGAAACCAGGGATTCATCAGCGGCACAAGCCCCCACATGCTCCACACAGCAGAAGCTGCTGAGAGGGGATTTCAGCACCTGCCTTACAAACAGGAGAGTAATAATGTCTCTGGAATACAGTGTTGCTACACTCTGCCCTGAGGCCACAGTGTTTCAGACTTTCCAGGAAAGGTCTGCAGTCCATTAAGTCAAATTATCTTTACAGGTAACAGTTCAGCATTTGTTATGTTTGGTAGAGTCTCACCGAGAAAGTAGAAAGTTTAGACCCCGGAGGTCCATGCATAATGATACAAACTATTCTCACCATCACCTATCATTTGGGAGGAAGGGACGTTCAGGAGGATTGGGAAAGAAAATAGACTTTTCTTGGTCAGGAAGAAAAAAAATACAGTGCAAATTCAAATGGAAAAAGAGTTAAGTCGGGTAAGTCGGGAGCGAATTAAACTCGTGTGAACTTTCCAACATGAGGATTAAAAAAAGCCAAAGCATCAGCTGACGATGCTCTCTTCAAATCAGTGTAACTTGCTGTTCAATGGACCTTCCTACTCTGCAAGGCTTTATTCCTCCCTATGAAATACTTCACCAGGCGGAAAAAGAACAGCAGCCCTATTTCACACGGCACGTCCCCCCCGTCCCATCAGTCACAGTTCTGAAACTCAGGTGTGCCCACTGAAGCGCTCTCTGACACAGCACCATGGATGAAAAGCCGAGCCACCTAAGTCTTGGACAGGAGATACATGGGGGTGGGGAGTGCAGGGGTGTATTAAAAAGACTTTTTATCAAGTCAGCCTTCACTATTATTTGAAAAATGATGAATACACCAGGAGACGAGAGCCTGAGGGGCATGCCAGAAATTAACCCACAAGACAGGCAGCATTGCAGTTTGCAGTGGCCACTGTTCCACTTCCAGTGTGTTGTTTTAGATTTCTAGGCTTATCCGCCAGGAGGTGTAGTATACAAATTCTGCACAGGAAATGATGAAACACAGAAGCAATGCCTGCTTGTCTTTTTTTCTGTGAGAACCCTTCGACCAGTCTCTTGAAGGTCTGTTTCTCACACACCCACACTTTTTCTCTAAAGGGAAAGGAAACATTCTCCAAAGATCAGGGCAGATACTAGATTCACTGGGGTATCATGGAACCTTACACATCAGTGGCAGAGTTAGGATACAACAGAATGTGAATGTATTTGTTGGGGTGGGGGGAGGGGGAGCGAGAGAGGATGAGATCCCAAGTAGTGCTCCGAAGGCCTGGGGGCCACACTCTGTGATTCTTGGGAGACAGGGTGGTCGGTACCGGGACTGACAGAGGTTGGATTCATGTAAGGCGTATGACTTAACCTCATGTGACCTCTCCGGCTTGATGTGAATGCATTTTAGTCTGAGAAGAATATGTTGCTTCTGGGCATGGAAAAAAAAATCTCTGAAAGGGACCAGAGAGACGTTCAGCATGTTGGGGCACATCTTTGCATGCAGGAGGCCTGGGCTCCACCCCTGCACTGTAGGGTATGGGGCCAAGTCAAACCAGAACAGAAAGACATTCAGTATATGTGCAAACATATTGTACGGGAAATCAGTCCACAGTTTAGCTTCCCGGCACTGAAGCGATAAGGCACCGTGCTTTGGTGCTTTGGTTACAAGCAACGTCTTATTTCTTCCTTATAGCAAACCTTATAGGGGACTTTTCAGTAGTCGCCTAGTCTCGAACCTTAGCCCCCTGTTTTGAGTCTGTATCTTTAGGAAGCCGAAAAAAAAAATGTGCGGGTTTCAAAGACTGCTTTGGGGCTGGGTATACAGCCCAGAGGTAGAGCACACACCTTAGGTGTGTTCAGGCACTGCTTGGAACACACCTGCACCAAACACAACAAAACCAACAATAACCAAAAAAAAAAAAAAAAAAAAAAAGGAATTCTCCCCCCGCCAACTACAATATAAAAACCAGCCTATCTTCCATAAAACCTAAGTAAAATTACCAGTTGAACTAAACAAGGCCACAGACATGTTAGTCAGGGGGCCTTGGTGGGTGAAGAGCTCTGCTCACTTTTTCTTGTTCCTGAGTCAGGAAAATGACAAGGAGGAACAGGGCGGGCCATGGAAACTCAGCAATTTCTTAGAGACATGAGGCTCGTGAAGTCCCCATGTGATCTGATTCCCAGCACCACCCTGCAGGCCCAGGTATGATGTCAATAATTCTATTTGGGACCCAGCACAAAAAGTGCATGGCTCAACCAAGTGTGTGGACCCTGGTCATCTTAGAGAACGCAACCAAGGGCAGGAAAGCAGAAAAAGAAGGGAAAGGTGGAACACACATGGAGGCTAAAATTTAGTTTCTTTCATGTTCCTAAAGGAAAGAAAACTTGCTATCCTGTTTCCACAGAGCAGCAGTTCTTAGCTTTTTTGGTGTCAGGATCTCTTTCAACTCTTAAAATTGTTAAGGATCTCAAAGAGATTTTATTTATGTGAGAAAAACTTTAACTTTGAAGTTATAAGAGGGTCAAGGGAAACTACATAATTAGCATACAAAAACATTTTTTTAAAGTGAAGTAAAATAATTTCTTTTTTTTTTTTTTTTAGCTTTTTGGGTCACACCTGGCAATACACAGGAGTTACTACTAGCTCTGAACTCAAGAATTAGTCCTGGTGGTGCTCGGGGGACTGTAGGGATTCTGGGAATCGAACCCGGGTCGGCCATGTGCAAGGCAAACGCCCTACTTGCTGTGCCATCATTCCAGCCCCAAAGCAAAATAATTTTTATTGAATGAAATTTACTTAGAAGTGTTTGAGGGGGAGAGAAAGAGAGAAAAAATGTTTTCAAGAGAAAAGACGGGCTTCTCCAAGGTGGAAAAAGCAGAGAGACAGAGAGACAAGCAAGTAAGATATGTGTTCAAGAGCAAGCACCCAATCCCATCATTTTTAATTTTAATTTTAATTTATTTATTTATGCTTTTTGGGTCACACCCGGCAATGCACAGGGGTCACTCCTGGCTCAGGGGACCACATGGGATGTTGGGAATCGAACCCAGGTCGGCTGTGTGCAAGGCAAACGCCCTACCTGCTGTGCTATCACTCCAGTCCCCTCATTCTAAATTTTAGGGCCACACCTGGAGATGCTCAGGGGTTACTATTGGCTTTGCACTCAGGAATTACTCCCAGCAATGCTCATGTGACCACGTGGGATGCCAGGGATCGAAGGCAAGGCAAGTACCCTACCTGATGTACTATTGTTCTGCTCCCCTTCCAAATGTTTTAAATAGATAGATTTTATGTGGAGGGTTGTTACTGAGCCCGGCAAGCTACCGAGAGTATTCGATATGCCAGACACAGTAACAACAAAGTCTCCAATGGAGACGTTACTGGGCCCGCTCAAGCAAATTGATGATCAACGGGAGGGCCTTACTTACTAAATAAATATGTGGAGGGTCTTTAAGTTGTGGAGGGGGAGAAGCGGGGGGGGGGGAGAGAGAGAGAGAGACGCTCTCAAGAGAGAATATGGGCTTCTACACAGGGGGAGAAAGCCCCTTACACACATTCCAGCATTAGACACAAAAGCATGAAAATACACATCTCGAGAGGGGAGATGCGGGTGACACACGTGCTCAGGCACTGTATGTGCGCCGCCACGCGGGCACAAGCAGCACACGGGCTTGAGCAGCATATGCACCCCAAATGTTTTAAAACTCAAGAATACAGAAGGGCACACACTGTATTATATAATCATCAGAATGATGACAGTATCACAGATCATGCAGTATCTAGAAAACTCCATGGCTCACTTTTGAGAGAAAGAGAACAGCAAAGTACACTTCAATCTTATTAGGCAAAGTTTTGCTTTTATGGGTAGCCTGAAAGAGTCGCAGAGACTTTGAGAACAACACCCATGGAAACGCTTATAAAATGCCAAGATAAATATTTTACTCCTATAGAACTGACTCTTTGCTTGGTTGAGAGCAGAGGAAGCCTTGGGAGATGCGGTACCAGGTCAAAGGTGACTCTGACCTTCATGATTATCCAAATTATTATTATAATCCAAAAGGGAAGAGGAAAGATGGCTGGTCCATAATCTTACTAGGAGTTAAACCACTTTTTCTTTTTTTTTTGCCTCACCTTGTCACCTTGGCGGTGTTCAGGGATCACTCTTGGAGGGCTGAGGGGGCCATACCAGAAGCCACGGATATAACCCGGGCTGGTCACATGCAAGGCAAGTATCCTACCTGCAGTATTATGGCTCTCTGACCCCTAAGGATACATTTTTGAGGAAACACTCTAGGCTCTTCACGATTACCATCTGTTAAATAAAAACCTTTTCTTTTTTTTTTCTTTTTGGTAATTGTATCAACATATCTTCCCTTCCATAAAAATGATGACAGTGGCAAGATAGTATATACAGAGGATTAGCATCCCGCTGGGTCTTGTATTAGTAATTCCTTCGAGATGCTTATTGATCCCCAGGAAACACCCGCCTCTCAAGTGTAATTATTTAATTAATGTTGCAGGGGCTCAGGCCACCCAGGCAGCAAACACAGAGAGCTCCTGTGTTGGTTATAATCCTGCCGCTGTTGGGATACTGCAAAAGGAGAAGTCAATCATCTTTAAAAAACAAAAACAGAAACTCTAACTCATTCCACTAGGTTTAACTCAGCAAATTCTCAACAGAGGGGTTTTAGAAAAGATTTCTTTTAGAAGCCAGAGATAGTACTATGGGTAGGGCGCTTGCCATATGTGCAACTGACCTGGGTTTGATTCTTGGCACCCTGTATGTTCCCATGGGTTACTGCCAGGCGTGAATCCTGAGCACAGAACCAGGAATAAGTCCTGAGCACTGCTGGGTGTGCTCCCCCCAACCCCGCCCGATTAAGAAAGCTTTTACCTTTACATTTCTGAAAAGAACAGTGTTTGCACTTTAGGACAAATCTGGCAGAAGCTTTTAGTTTGTGTTTGTTCCGAGTAAAAACAAATTTTGGGCTCAATCTCTCAAAACTATAAAGTGTTCAGCCCCAAATCACAAAAAAGCAAACTATTGTTTAGGAAAGAGACTCATCTGTCAACCACACCAGTCATCTGTCCCCCAAAATGTGCCAGGTCTGGAGGAAGACCCCTACCAGGAAGTCTTAGTCAAGGAAAAGAGGGGGACGATTTGCTGATACCAAGCAAACAAGGTCTATGACAGGTGCTCACTCATGGGACAGACAGAAAACCAAACGTCAGGTAAGTTGGAGGAAGCCCTGGCCAGTCAAGCAGGGCTGGGTTTGTATAACCTCCAGCTGCAACCAAGGCAGGAAGCTTTCCAGAGACCAGAACTCTTCGATGACCCCAACCCTCCCAAGATGACATCTCCCGTGAGGTTTCTGGAATGCGCATATGGCAGGTACAATTTTGCCCTTTGGAGAAGGACAGGCCATCAGTTAGGTTCTGAGAACCTTCAAGTCCAGGTGATTTTATCCAAAGATGATCCTACAGATAAGCTCTGTAATCAACCAAAGAAATGGGGACACATATAAAAAGAAACTCTTGTTTCTCCCCTCCAGCCTGCTTCTCTTGACTTCCAGTTACTAAGATCCACTAGATCCCTCTGGACCACTCTCTTGTCCATGCGCCATTAACTACTCTTGCTGGCTCTTCAGGACTTATGCAGATTTGATCCTCTTTCTCCAACTCTCTCTTATTTTGTTTCTGGGTCATACCCAGCAGTGCTCAAGGCCTACCTACTCCTGGCTCTGTGCTCAGGGGTCACTCCTGGTGGGTTTGGGGGACCATTTGGGGTAGGATTGAACCTGGATCTGCAAACACCTTACCTGTTGTACTATTCCTCTGCCCAGATGCCCTATTTCTCCATCTCTACTTTGACCTTCCTATTAGGTCCAAGTGGCATAAATGAAGAAATCCATTCATGGACTCAAATTATAAAATGCCATTTAATTAATTTTTCTCAATTCAATAACTTCACTGTAGTTATATCAGAGAATACTTGTCACGAGAAAAAAATTATACATATATATGTATATACACACGCACACACACACATTATATATATATTTGGGGTGAAGATTCACAATGTATGTGACTTAACTATTCAGTGACGAAAAAAGTCTGGGAGATGGCAGAAGTGTATGTGGTAAAAATGGCAGCAGTTGGCTAAATCCAGTTGCTCTTTATATTGTTACTGAGGCTTTTCTGTGAGTTTGACATTTCTCAAAATAAGTTGCGAAATCACTTCACTCCTTTTCTCAGAACCTTCTACTGGTCTCCCATTTGGGAAAACCAAAGGCCCTGCAGGCCAGCCCTGCCCGCCCTGGGGTCTCCTCTAGCACCCGTCCTGGCAATCTGGCAGTTCTCAGGCCACACCCACTTCCACCTTGGCAGTGTGGTTCCCTCTGCGAGAGTGTCCTTCCCTCTCTGCAGCCCACTTCCTGTAGGACTTTCTCTCATTCCTCTTCATACAAAGGCAGCTTCCTGCAAAGGCTTCACAGCCCCTGGGCCTAGCCCACCTTCCTAGCACTCACCCGCAGCTGAAGGGCTGAAGGATGACACTCACTTGGTCCTTGCCTGCCTCTGTGGGTGCAAAGGGAGCGCCCTCTGGGCCAGGAGTTGCTGGGTTCCTCTGTTCCCTGGTAGCCTGTGGTGTGCTGGCCTGGATCAGTGTCTGCTCAGCCCAGAAGGCCCCAGTCAGCATTTACTGACTGAATTAACCGAATGGTTAAAAAAAATCTCTCAAGTTGGGGGCTGGAATGATAGCACAGTAGGTAGAGCATTTGCCTTGCACGTGGCTGACCTGGGTTCGATTCCCAGCATCCCATATAGTCCCCTGAGCACCGCCAGAAGTAATTCTTGACTGCATGAGCCAGGAGTAACCCCTGTGCATCGCCAGGTGTGACCCAAAAAAAGCAAAAAAACAAAACAACCAAACTCCCCCCCCCCAAACCAAAAACAAACAAACAAAAAACTCAAGACCGGGCCTTGAGTGGTCCCTGAGGGTGTATGCACGAGTTCAGTCCCAGCACCATAAATGACCACCTGCCACCAATTCAATGTATTCGCTTCCACGCCTGCAGTTTCTGGGTTAAGGGTTATTAAGTATTTGCCACTTTTTCCAGGAATCTGTTTTTGATTAACTCTGCAGAATAAAGTTCCTTTTAAAAGAAAAACCATTTTCTCCTTGTGGAATTTGACCAGAAGTGGGAAACAAGGATCGCTCAAGGTCTGCCCTGCTTCTTTCCACCCCCAAGCCCACTGAGGCTGCCACTGCAGTCTCGGCTGAGCCCTCACTCAGATCAAGCCCTGGCAGATCAAGTCCAGGTTCTGACTGCCCGCCCCTGAGCTGCCTGTGTTACACAGAACAAGAGTTGGAGGAAAGGGTGGGCCCTGGAGCCGCACAGCCAGAGCTGCCTTCCATGGCACACAGTGTCCTGCAGGGGGGACGGCTACTGGCCGCGGGTTAGTCTAGGAGACGCAGCTGGTAAGGAGACAACACATGGCAACGGCTTTCCCAATTTGAGCTCTCAGAAAGCAAGCGAGCTTTTCCCACGTTACTTACGTCTGTGGAGGTGGGGCTGGGCAGGGACACAGGCTGAACAGGTGCAGGGAAAGTGAATGTGGTCTCTGTCTTTTCATTTTCAGGGGAGTCAGGATGACTGGATGGGGGGGATGTTGGGGTAAGGGCTCCAAACCCCAGCACCGCATTGTATTTTGGAGGACGACCTATATACCAAGAGAAGGGAACAAAAGGGGAGAAGGGGGGGGAGGGAAAGAAAGGGGGAAAAATGGTCTTACATACCTTTGGCCAGTGTTCCTCATTGGCTAGCATGGAAAAGGAAGTGAGGTAGCAGACAGAAGGTTAATACAATAGTCCCAGAGAGAGGAAGAGAAGCAAAGATTTCAATGTCAACAGATACAACTGCGCGAATCTCGAAAGTATGGAGAGGAAGAGAGCCTTGGAGGATGACAGGAGGGCCGGGGGTGGGGGGGATGCTGAAGGGCCTCCCTGGGACAGATGCAGGTGAGCTTCCTGGTCCGCTACAGTCTGAGAGTTCTAACACAAGTACCAAGATGCCAAAGCTCAGAGGCAGAGTCGAGGCCAGGGCGAAGAACTTACTTCCCTCTCCTGATCCTCTGTTCTCTGCATCCTCCCTCTCAATGAGATTATTAGTGAGCCTCAGTCCCCACAGATGCCAATAGTTAGGATTTTTGCTTTCCCTTTCCTCTCCTATCTGTAGTTTGATCATTTCTCTGATGGTGAGAGTGGAGAAAGGCAGAGTGAGGGACCAAAAAAATCAACTTAATTATTCTCACCCTTTGCTGGTCGAATTGAAAAAGATGTTCGGAGCTTATGACAGGGGTTGAAGTATTTGTCTGGACTCAGATACTTCCCCAGTTGACGGAGAACAGTGCCCCTACCTTCCAGCACAAGCATTCTCCTGAAGAACTGGGGCGGTGCCAAAGTCTCAGGAAAGGCTGTGCCATTAGCACCAATACTTAACTTAGAGATTTAAGTAAACGTATTTGGAATCTAAATCTCGTGGCGACAGAGGACCTGGCCATAAGCACTAACGGGTGTGGGCAGTCCAGGTCGACCACTCTCGCAGGATGCTCTGCCTAATTCAGGGGCCTGGTCTTCCAAGAGCGGCGATCACAGCTTCTAAACTGTGAGTAATCAAAAGCGAATGTCCACCGTACCGGAGGGAAAAAAGCCAGAGACGTCTCCAAGCACTGGGGGGTGGCACGCAGGCTTGTAGCTTTGCCAGTGGTTATAATTTATATCAGGATTATGTACAAGGGTCGTGGTGCGGTCACACACACGCCACCAGCAGTACCAAGTTCTGCGAAACTGGCAACATCTGCAGCAGAAAGACAGATCGTACTGGTTTGTCTTTTCTAGGGAATTTAGTGCTGCTGAAAGTGGAAGGGAAGATGAATGCTCTTTGTTTACCCACAGAAGTTGCATGTGAGGCATTGTGAATGCAAGGCTTTTATCCTCTGACCTTGGCAAGAGATGCCAAGGTCTTTCTGGCTCATTTAACCTCATCCTGCTAGCAGACAGGGCCCACCAGCCGGCCAATTAACTAACGCTTGCTTCTGGCTGGGGGGCTCCTTTCTGAGAATGGGTGTCAGAGGTCTCTAAACATTTCCTCAAACAAGACAAAATAATGAAACATGGCTTGCGACCCTGGTTATAGTGACCCAGGAGGAGCTCGGGAGCAATGACTTCGGGGTTCCCCTATGAGGGTGTTTGACTTCGGGCAGGACAGGGCTGGTGAGAGGCTGGACTGGGTCATTTTGCGGAGGGGTGCTATCTCTTCTGCGGTGCGGGGGGTGAGGGGGGAATGGACGGTATCTGCAGCCTCGCTGGAGGCGGAGAGGAGGTCGGGATGACCTCCTAAGCATCCGATAGCTCTGACATTGTGTGTACACATGCAAAAATTAGTATGCCGCTCCACTCGCTCCGCAACCTTTCTAGCCTGGAACTATAATTCAGGGACACATTATCATGTGCAGAAGGGGACCTTGGGATGTATTACTGACATCAAAGAACCATTTCAGAACCTTGTTTATGAGCTCAAACTCGGAGCTATTAAGACCTATTTAGCCCTGCACGGCAAGAGCAGCCGCAGAGGCTCCCCCCAGCCCTCCGAGTGCGTGCCCGGCTGCAGGGCCCAAGGGCCGCCATCTGAAGGGGCCTCAGGAGGGACGCTCGCCCTGGGGGAGCCTGTCTGCCTGGACAGTGACCTTTTCGTACTTAATCAGAGGTGCTTACTTTTCAAGGGGGGGGGTCAGCTCTGTGGGGGGCCTGCTCCTCTCCTGCCTGGAAAGTCACCAGCTCCCAGAAACTCCCCACACAAGCCCTGAGCTTGCTAGTAGCAGGGTGGTTTCACCACTGCTTGGCAGCGCTCTCTTTTGCTCAACAGCACTCAACGCTGCTGTTGACTCTGTTCTTTCGAGTTACAGCGCTGTTCAAGGACAGGCGGCTGGGCCTGGGACAGAGACGCTGCACCGGGTCAATCCCCTGAGTCAGCTCTGTCAGAACGCCCGCCAAGGCGCTCTGAGTCATCGCAGCCAACTCGACCAAGGAATCTCACCCTCTCTCCTCAGAGAGCCACGGACCGTCTACTTTCCTTTTTTCTTTTTGGCTTTTTGGGTCACACCCGGTGATGCACAGGGGTTACTCTTGGCTCTGCACATAGGAATTACTCCTGGCAGTGCTAAGGGGACCATACAGGATGCTGGGAATTGAACCCGGGTCGGCCGTGTGCAAGACAAATGCTCTATCCGCTGTCCACTGTACTATCGCTCCAGCCCCAGACCGTCTACTTTCAAGGGACACAGGGAGTCAGGATCTAGGATGATGGCGGGAGAGTGGGTGAGAAACACAACACAGAAAGCAGAGTGAGAGCAAGGGAGGGCTCCGAAGAGGCACTCACCTCTCTTCCGGGTCCCGGGGTGCATGGTGCTGTTTAGGTATGTGACTGCACTCTTCTTGCGCTTGGAGGGGGGAAGAGGGAGAGGTGACCGACTGTAGAGCATGCTCACTGTCGACCCGCGCTCGCCAGGCCTAATGCCATGCCGACTCATTAGTGGGACAGTCTCCCAAGCCTTCTTGACAATGGCTTTTGTTACCGGTTCCCGGCAATGAGAGAGTAGCTTGGCAGTTGTATGCTGAAGCCACGATGAGTTCCAATAAATTGGGCTGGGGGCTGCTAGGGAAGGCTTAAGCCAGTGGTGCTCAGCTCTGGGCCTGGGATAACTCCTGGCAGGGCTGGGTCACAATACTGTGCTTACTGGACTGGAGTGGAGAGCTTGCGGGGCAAGTACATGAAGCCCAGGACTATCTCTTTGGCCCTGAGTGAAGTTTTTTTTTTGCTTTTTGGGTCACACCCAGTGATGCACAGGGCTTTACTCCTGGCTCATACACTCAGGAATTACTCCTGGCGGTGCTCGGGGGACCATATGGGATGCTGGGAATTGAACCCAGGTTGGCTGCATGCAAGGCAAACGCCCTACCTGCTGTGCTATCGCTCCAGCCCCCTGCCCAAATAATTTTTTTTTTATGGAAAAAGATTATTTTTTTTCTTTTTGGGTCACACCTGGCGAGGCACAGGGGTTACTCCTGGCTTGCACTCAGGAATTACTCCTGGCTCTGCACTCAGGAATTACTCCTGGCAGTGCTCGGTGGACCATATGGGATGCTGGGAATTGAACCGGGTCATCCATGTGCAAGGCAAACATCCTACCCGCTGTGCTAGCACTCCAGCCCGAGTGAAAATTTTAAGGTGTGTCTGTATCCATTGAAACTCGGGGAAAATTAAGGAGCATGCGGCAAATACTAACAATGAAATAATGTGGTCAGTCAGAGGAAAATGCTCCATGTGGCTGACCAAGCACAGTCAAGGGACTACTCTTACGCCGGCTTTCTGAGGGGAGATGCAGAATGGGTCACTGAAAAGAGTGAGGGAGAGGCCAAGAGCTGGCCAGGAATACCTCTGGCTCAAAGACTGCTCCACTGTATACAGGATTTGCTGTTGTTCTTCTTTTTCGCTCTTGCCTCTTGCTTTGGATTTCTTGGGAAGGCAAAGGTGTGGATTAGGAGGCAGGTAGAGAGACCCTGAAACACTTAACCGCACTTCTTTCTCTATGGGTTTCCCACGGCAGATCAGATAGGGGAGGGCCTCTGTCTCACTGGGCTCACCCGAGCAAGCGAGCATCTGCCGGAAACTAGCCGGCAGTTCTCTCCCAGGCCCGCTCAGAAAGCACAGGGCCCGCAGCGGGGCTCAGAGGGCAGGATGGAAGATGCTTGGGGGCCGGTGGCGTGGATTTGGTTCTCAATGGCTGTAATTCTGGTGTGGATGAACTTTATCCACACACCTAGGTGAAGGAGCACAGTTCACCATTCTAGAATGAAAATAACCAGGACCGGTCTAGCATTGCAGCTGATGTTAAGACTCTGATCACTTAGAACAATTCACAAATCCAAAGACTTATCAGAGGGTCAACCTGCTACCGTGTGCAGCCCCCAACTGCCCTCTTCGCCTCCCCCAACAGAGTTCCTCCTGAGTGAACAGAAGTCACCTTCATCCCCGTAACTGGGTGGTTCTCCCAGCAGAGCAGTGTGGATAACAAAAGGGGAGGGGCTGAGTGCTACATGAGAGGGAAGGCAGTGATTCTCCTAAAGGAAATAGAGTTCACACTGGCTGGCTGATAACTGTGTGTGTTCCAACTGCTATTCCAGCACTACAATGAAACACTATTTTCAAGAACAAATCTCTGGAGGAGAAGCAAGGTAGTCCCACGAAAATCTTCTCTTACCTTCCAGATGGTCATGTGTTACCAACCCTAGAGACACCATGAAGGCAAGTTTCTGTGCCAGAGAAACAAAAGAAAGCATTTCAGTGAGGGTTCTCCCAAAGCTAATCGCACATTCCCATCAGGCGCCGAAGGTAGGGGGAGGGGGGCAGGAAAGCCAGCGTGAAGGGGCTTTGGGTGGCAGAACATTGCAGGGGTTGGGCGAACCATCTCATCAACTGTGGGGAGGCTTCCCATTCTGCCAGGGGCCAAGCAACAAAGAGGATATGGGGTCTTCATAGATTTCCTCAATGACAGAAACCAGCAGCTTGAGTTCTGTCCCCACTCACCAACCCCCTCACTCTCCTCCCCCCCCAAAAAAAAGTTTCTCTTAGAGCATATTTGAAACACATCAGAAGGCCACTAGGAGACTCCACGTAGCCAGTTCCGAATTCTAAGTACTTCCCTCCTGCCAGGTTTACACGGCACACAGCTCAGGGATTCTCACATTTTACCCCCACTGAATGGACAATGCTAATCCACAGTTAAGTGAGTTCTCGGAGTAACAGCTAGAGGCTCCACTTGATGCCATAAAATTTCAGTTAAATATAGACCTGTAGGGGGACTTTGCTGGTAAGACCACTTTTAGGGCTCCACCAAGAGCCCGAATGGCAATATTGCACCCCCAGGCTGCCATGTGAGAGGCTGTGAGTTGGAAGGATCAACAAGTTGATTTCTACTTTGCTCTCTGGCTGTATCACCTGGTCTGGGTAGCACACCTTCACTTGCTGCTGTGCCAGTGCTTGGGGGTCGCTAAATGTACCCCGCAAAGTGGCATCAATTTCTTTCCTCAATGAAGAAAGACCACCACCAACTGTCAGGAGGCAACAGTCCTGTGGAATTATTGATGCCAGAGCTTGATCTTTAAAACTGCTGACATCTTATCCTCAACATTAAATGTGATATTTCGGCCTGAAGAGACAGGTTCAGGATAGTCGAGATTCCAAGTGTTTTAGGAAGATAGTCTTTGAGTAAGCCACTTGAGAACACAGAAATGTACTTTACTGGGTATCCTCAGTCCTGAAGAAATAAATATATATTTTTTTGGCTTTTGGGTCACACCCGGCAATGCACAGGGGTTATTCCTGGCTCTGCACTCAGGAATTACTCCTGGCTGTGCTCAGGGGACCATATGGGATGCTGGGAATTGAACTCAGGTCGGCCGCATACAAGGCAAACGCCCTCCCCGCTGTGCTACTGCTCCAGCCCCCTGAAGAAATATTTTTATATTATTTCTTATTTCAAAACATCTTCCTGACAGCTAGAGTACAATGGTGAGGTAAAGCAGTCTGCCTGCCTATTTTTCACACTGCATGCCGAAATGGGAGGCATTTTGTGGGTACTAGCTAACCGCATTCCTAATTTTCACGATTTCTTTCAAACCTATTATTATTATTATTATTATTATTATATTATTTTCTTTTGGTTGTTTCTGGGCTGGAGCGATAGCACAGCGGGTAGGGCATTTGCCTTGCATGCAGCCAACATGGCCGACCCGAGTTCCATTCCTTGCCCCTCTTGGAGAGCCCGGCAAGCTAACCGAAATTATCTTGCCCACATGGCAAAGCCTGGCAAGCTACCCGTGACGTATTCGATATGCCAAACACAGTAACAATTGTCACAATGGAGACGTTACTGGGCCCGCTTGAGCAAATCGATGAACAACGGGAGGTTGTTTCTGGGACACACCCAGCGATGTTCAGGGGCTACTCCTGGCTCTGTGCTCAGGGTTCATCTCAGTGGTGCTCGGTGCAGAGGTCAAACCCAGGCCTCTTGCAAGCCAACCATACTCTCGAACCTGCTGAGCCATCTCTCTGCACCTTTTCCTTCCACATTTTCTCAAGCTAGCTGTCTGTGAACTGAACTCCCTTAGTAAAGCAGAACCTAGAGGGACATTCAGAGGCACCTTCTCTGAACGAAGTAACAGCACCCTTTTGGCTACTTACATCCACCTCATCTTTACCAGTCTCAATCAAGCTTACACAAGAATTATTGAATCAAAACGAACAACAATAAAAGCATCACGAGATACTGTTACCAACCAAGCATAAGTTGTCAGGGACTTTCATCTCCTCTAAGTATCACATGTATATAAAGAACTAGCTGGTTCTCTTTCGAGCAGAGGCTCTGTCCAGCGAGAAGGTGCAGTATCCACAATCATTATTGTGGATTATACATCATGTCATTACACATGGTGATGACAGCTTGCCCATGTGACAGAAGGCGGCTTCTGACAGCTTTGGAGGAGGACGTTTTGCTAATGGCTAGCTTGCTCTATTTTCCTTCCTCTGAGCACAAGACACGGGCTTCATCTGACAAGTTTCTCAGCTATCTGCAAGACTAGTACTTCTTTCTGGTTCAAGTTTTTCTTTTGCTTTCTGGGTCATACCCAGTGATGCTCAGGGGTTACTCCTGGCTCTGCACTCAAGAATTACTCCTGGCGGTGCTCATATGGGATTCTGGGAATTGAACCTGGGTCGACCGCCTGCAAGGCAAACGCCCTACCCGCTGTGCTATCGCTCCAGCCCCTGGCTCAAGTTTTGATCCCTTCCTTAAAGATAAATTAAACATTAAATTCATTTCATATCAGAAAGAACTGTAATTTGTACTTGTTTAAGAGAAAACTAAACTGGCTTAACAAATCAATGCATTAAAAAAAATATTGCATGAAGCTTTGATGGCTTCATGCCACTATTTGACATGGTTTCATTACAAAGAATGCACCAAGGATAGATGGAAATGGATTACTGGTCTAATAAAATCCGACTATCAGATATTCATCATCATATTACCTGTCCACATTTTTCTTTTATAGCTGCTTGTGCAAAAGCATCAAACTGAAAAATTCTCAAGTCTAAGGACATAAAAATGCAGTCTCTATTTGCACCAGTCTTGTTCGGTCTCTGTGTTGATAATTCTACCGAACTCGGAGTACAGCTGTTACTGCTTTCATCCCTACTTTTTATTCTTCAATGAATTAATTACTCTTTGAGCTCATGATTCATTTGGGATCTAGAGATCTAATGCAATCAGATGGTAATAACAAAAATGCATTGCAACGACTGTAATCAATAATGCCAAGTAGACATTAGCTGAATGAACTCTCATCTTAAAAGAGTATTGGCTGAGACCAAGAAAACATCAGGCCCATAGGAAGTCAATGGGACAGCTGGGAAAGTGACCATTCATTTTACACATCAAATCTGTTACAAGATACGGGATGCCTATGTGACAGCTCAGAGATACTCCAGGCCATGCTCTTAATATGCCCCAGATCCACCCAACTTGGCGATGACACTGAATAGTGAGAGAGCATGAGAAAAGACAAGCCCTGAGACTGGGGGTGCTGCCCTGCATCCGGCCGGGAACCCACGCTTACCTGAGGGTTCTCCTCCCGTTTTGGTTTGGGTGCAGCAGGCGGAGTGATGGTGCGGCTCTCTGTTTGCTTCTCATCTGTTTCTGTGTGGGATTTAATTGTCTAGGAGCGGAAAATTAAAGAAAATCCAGAATTAATTTTTCACGGTAGGGATGAAAACAAACAGTAGTTTAACTGTAGCTAACAAGAAAGAGAAGGGGGAAAAAAAAGAACACGCTCAAATTGGAGACATTAATAAAGAAGCTAATATTATGGATTTCATTTTGGCGGAGGACAAAGTAAATTGAAAAACCCTAGTTGAAATGACTAAGTTGCATAACTAGAATAGATATGAATCTATAAACACAACTCTCTCGATTATTAAAAAAAAGAGGGAATTGTCCGTGGCTTAATTCCTATGTACAAAAATAAGGTAGAGGCTGCTCTCTCTCTCTGATTTCAGTGTATCTAAGGTTTGTAAAAGGGCAATTTTCCAGAAGCAAGTCAACTTTATTTACAAATAGGTCAAGCTTGAATGCTTCTGATCTGAATAGTGTTCAAAATACCTGATGAACACACATACTTTTTTATTTGTTGTTTTTTTTGTTTTTGCTACCTGGAGGTGCTCAGGGCTTATTCAAAGTTCTTCGCTCAAGAAACATTCATATTAGGGCTTGAAAGACCCTATGTGGTGTCAGGATTGAGCCCTAACCTTGTACTGTTATTCTGACCCTGTACACACACTTCTATTTCTGAACAATTCCAATTAGAATGTAAGAGAAGTTGCAGAAGAGCCCTTCCGGGGGTACGTAAATATTGCCTACTAGAACATCCACTAGAGGAACAATGCAGTGGCGAAGGAAAGGTAATCTTGCAAGAGGCTCAGGTCTTATTATCTTATCCCCAATCTAATTGTCCAGACACATCCATTTAAAACACAGGGAAAAAACATCCCCAAACCCAAAACCATTGGTGATATTACCATAGGCAAACACTAATGGCAACTAGCAAATTGAAAGGCACGGTTTCTATTACTATTCTCATCATGACTGGATGTAAATTCAGTTTATGTAGACTTCTATAAATATTGAAACAATGTTAAAACAGTGCGGAGAAAACCGTAAACACAAACATGATTTACTTTTTCCAAATTAAAGGAATGGGATTCTGGAGAGAAAATTTGCATGCTGTAGGCCCAGGTTTGATCCCTGGCAGGGTAAGGTCCCCAAAAGCACTGAGCATTTCTGGGTATGGCCCCCAAACCAAACAAACAAAATATGGAGACTAATGGTCATTCTATATGAAACAAGTTGCTCATTAAATTAAATATATTAATGATGTGTAGAAACAAAACACTTCAGTTCTATTAGCAGGACATCAAGACTGTCACACTATCTTCCTGTTGTTCATCGATTTGCTCGAGCGGGCCCAGTAACGTCTCCATTGTGAGACTTCTTGTTACTGTGTTTGGCATATCCAATACTCTTGGTAGCTTGCCAGGCTCTCTGAGAGGGGCGGAGGAATCGAACCTGGCTCGGCCAGGCTGGCTGCGCGCAAGGCAAACGCCCTACCGCTGTGTGAAATATTTAACTGAGTTAGTCTGAAAACTGAATCACAAAGATCTTTAACTTTCTTTTTGTTTTTTCATGGCCACATTCAGTGGTGCTCAAGGCTTGCTCCTGAGTCTGCACTCAGGGATCACTCCTGCTGGTGCTCAGGGGACCTTCTGGGATGCTGGGCATCAAACCCGAACCCAGGTCAGCTGTGTGCAAAGCAAGCAATCTACCTGCTATACTATCTCTTTGGCCTCAGATCTTCAACTTTCTTTCCTGGCCACTCCCTACATTATCCTTCTACCTTCATAGTATCACTTTAGGAAAGTGTAAGCCTTACTAATTCTGTAGAAACCATTGTTCGTAAGGAAAAAAAAAACCCGTCTTCTATCCTAGTCGCACCTTTCTGCTACAAGGTACTGGAGAGCAGGGGTTGTTTCAGATACTCTGCACCCCCTCACCCTAGTACAGGTCTCACATATGGCAGGTATATTGTACGGAGCTGCTTTGATTTAGGGGAGAGGACCGACCACAAGAACCGTTCATATTTCTCTTTCCACACAAACTTTTTTTTTTTTTGCTTTTTGGGTCACATCTGGCTATGCATAGGGGTTACTCCTGGCTCTGCACGCAGGAATTACTCCTGGCGGTGGTCAGGGGACCATATGGGATGCTGGAAATTGAACCTGGGTCGACCGTGTGCAAGGCAAATGCCTTACCCACTGTGCTATCACTCCAACCCACATTTTAATAGTCATGCTGGGGGCTGGGCTGGGACCCCTCCTGGCATTTCTCTATGTGGTGCAGAGGGACTGACACTTCAATTCTAGGGTTACACCTGGCAGTGTTCAGGAGGCTACATGGTCCTGCAGATCTAAGTCAGGGCCCTGAACACAATGGGCATGAACGTGACCACTTGAGTTCTCTTCCCCACCCCTCATCTAAAAAAATCCAATAGGATGCATCTTCTCCATAAAACCACCACCAATGGGGCTGATAGCACAGCTGGTAGGGCGTTTACTTAAGCATGCGGCCAACCTGAGTTCGATCCCTGGCATCCCACATGGTCCCCTATGCACTGCCAGGAGTAATTCCTGAGTGCAGAGCCAGGAGTAACCCCTGAGCATTGCTGGGCGTGACCCCCCCAAAAAACAAAACAAACACAAAAACAAAAAAACAACAAAAAACAAAAAACCAAAAAAACACCGCCAAACACACCGACAGGGAAACACAATGGGCAAGTCATACACAGCCACATTTTGAAGGTCCCACGTGTCCAGAAAGGTTTTTTTCAAGCTCTCTGAATAGGGAAGGGCAAGAGACAAGGGGGGCAGGGGAGGGAGAAGTCTGCTGGAGTCACCTGCATTTCTGAGTCACAGTAGATGGTGCAGAGTGGCCCTATCTCTGGGGAAGGACAAAGCAATTCCTCCTGACTAAGGAATTACTGAGGGTTTGAATTTTATCCTGCATGCAAGAAGAGTACAATCATCTTGGGGTAGGGGCAGGAGTAACAGCATAGCGGGTAGGGTGTTTGCCTTGCAAGTGGCTGACCCGGGTTCGATTCCCAGCATCTCATATGGTCCCCCTTGTGCACTGCCAGGAGTAATTCCTGAGTGTAGAGCCAGGAGTAACCCCTGAGCATCACTGGGTATGACACAGAAAGTAAAAACAACAACCCCTAAATAAAAACCAATCATCTTGGGGGTAAAGGACATTAAAAACATTAAAAAAAAGACTGCGGAGCTCTTTCTCTTACTTAGGGAGAGGACACATTGTGAACAGCTCTGCAGTGTTCAACCCCAGTGAGGAGGTCTGTCTGCCAACCCTGTGCCCAAGTCTAGAAGCGGGTGGCACAGGCCCAGCTGAACCTGGAGATGACAGCATCATCCTTGGCCAGTGCGCCGGACTCAAAACTTGTGAGGGACTGTGAGCGACAACCTGACTCCTGACTCTCTAAGGGACGAAACGAACCCAAACTGCTGTTTTACACTGTTAAAAATGCACGCACACACACACAAACACACGCGCACACACGCACATGCGCCGAACACATACACACACATGCGTGCACATATTCAGGTGGGTGAGATGACATCACAGAAAAGACAGAGAAGGTGCGGGGGCCCTGAGAATCAGTCCTTCCATGAAAGTCACCACAAAGCTGGCAAAAGCAGAGAGCAACATTTTAAAACTCAGAATCTAATTTTAAAACCTTACAGCTACTAGGGGAGCACTTACTGAATGAGGTCGCTAAACTTCAGTAAGAAAGGATGGAGTGCCTCTGCCTAGAAACCCGCACTCCCTGCCAAGGCCGAAGTGTCAGGCTGGCAGTGCGCTGGGGCCAGTGGCAAGAGGGACCTCGGTCCCCAACCAGGCTGTGCCTTTTGACCTCTCTGGTGGTTCCTGGGCATCGGTGCAGGGTGAACCTTTTCTCTCCTCAACCTTAATCGGGAGTGGCTTTCCAAGTGGTGTCTAATGAAAGCGTGTGTCCTGGTCAGAGGAGAGTGGACGGAGTAAACAGATTCAAAAGTCTGGAAGGAGGAAGCTGGGGGGATTCTTGATGGGAAAGGGGGCATGGCAGGGTCCTGAGGTACATTGGGGAATCCACAAACTCGCACATTCCTGAAGGGCTGGGTGTGCGCAAGCTTGCATCCATGGCTGGCCTTTGGGCTCTGTCTGGGAAAGAGGTGAAGGCTAAGACCAAATTAAATAGAGCCTGGTCAAGTGTTCAAAGAGCGCCCCTCTTTAGAGCTAATCTGCAAGTCTTCCTTTAAAAAATTAGAAATCATTAAAAAAATTTACTGCTTCTTATTTTTCTCTTTCAGGCTCCAGTGGTTTAAGGTCCTATCAGGTCACTTGATCAGAGATGTGTTGGTGATCACACAGGACAAGAAACATAGTCTGGAGCTGGAGAGACAGCACCGTGCTTAAGGCACATGACTTGCATATGGTGCACCCTGGTTCAGACCATGGCACCACACGACCCCCACATCCCAGCATTACCGGAAGTTTTGGAGGCCCCTGAGTACTGATGGGTGCCTCAGATTATTTCAAAGCACCATGTTCTTAGGCCCTTGTATTGACTTGCTGGCTCAGTTGGCTCAGACACTTTGAGGCTCCTTGAAGCGCTACCTGGAACCCCCTACTTGCTCCACCCAAAGAAATACAGTCCCACGGTCAGAACAATAGGACAATGGGAAGGACATTTGCCTTGCCTGTGGTTGACCCAGTTCCATCCCTGGCAGCCCAAATGTTCCCCCGAACCATACCAAGAGTGACCCCTGAGCGCAGAGCCAGGAGTAAGCCCTGAGCACTGCTGGGTGTGGCCCCCAAACAAAAATATAAACAAAAAGAAATACAGTCCCTGTGAAAATAAGGAAAGAAGGCAGGGAGACAGTTCAGAGGGCAGGAACACATATTCTGCATCCATAGTACTCAGGTTTGATCCCAACTGTAAGTCCTACCACCCCTGGCACTGTTGGGTATGGCCCTAGTGGTCCGGAACACCATGAGCTCAAACAGTACCAAATCTCTGGGAGCACCAAGTATAGCAGGGAAGTGATGTTCAGG